GACAAAAAAATAAAACCGCGTCACTTTAGTATTAATCAAAGGCACAACCGAGGAACGTCATGCATATTAAAATCAGGAGTTACGATTATATGACAATATAAACTGAAAAGAGGAGAAACTGAGTGTCGCGGTTGTATTAGCCCCGTGCTGGGCTACCCGGCTGCCCATCGACGTCACGCCCCGGCCCCCATGCGGATCGCCCAGATGGGGCGTTGGCGATACGCGCCCGGGATCGGAGCGGCTCTTCGGGGAGTCCGGAGGACAACGAATTTCTCACCTAGCGACTAACAAGGCATCTCGTTTAAAATCCATTCCGTGGAGATTGAAATATGAGCGTTTGTGCAGGCCAGGCATCGGGGGGGCCCATTCATAACCCGCTACGGGACCCCTGAATACGCGCTATAAAATACAAGTTTGGATTTACTTTTAATTCTCCGATGACTGGACGTCGTTAAGACGTGGCTGGAAGTTGGAGGAGTCGCCCCGCCGCGCCCAATTGACACACAAACTCAAACAGGACATAAAATACGGGAAATGATAATTGTTTGTGGTCGTCGTTATGGGTTAAAGAATTAATTTCATAGGAGTAGTCTGATATTTTAAAGCTTTTAGTGATGTCTTGTCTCCTGAAATCTTATATTCGTTAAATTTATTAAAAACACAAAAATTAATTTTCCGAAAAAAATGAAAAGAAAATTAAATGAAATGCGTACAGAGAAATGGGTTTCCCATATTCGACTTGTACAAAGTTTGAATAAAATAATTTTTTTATGAAAAAAACGACTTTTAGACATAATTCAGAGGCCAATTGTCCAAACCTAAGACGGACTTCGTTACAGGATTTCTGCGGACCCAGCAAGGAAGGTGATTGAATGTCGACCCTGATTCCTGGAAGTTTAGTAACCAGAAACGAATACCTGGTTAGTCCATATAGTACGACAGAAAATTAATAGGTACACAGCAAAAAAAAAAAAATTAAGGCAGCAATTTTTACCGATGTTTGAAAGGCTGTAACTTCTTGAATAATGGTCGCGTATCGAGAAAATAAAAAACATCTCAACGTATTCTAGTTTTGAAATCTTGAGATGAAATTTTTTTTTAAGCATCATTCTCGGCGCAATCAAACTAAATAATGCAAGGCAAGAATTTTTCAAAACGTAGGCTCAGAAAAATTTTCCTCAAAATTTCGAAATAAATCAACAAATATAAAAAAAAAATTAAAATTATGAAAAAAAATTGAATTTTGAAAAATAAAATCAAAATTTTCAACATTTTTTTGCGTTATTGAATTGAATATTTCAAATGTTGGAAAATTTTTTTTTTTAATTTTGAAAAAAAATTTTTTTTAATTAAAAAAAAAATTTGAAACTAAAGAAAACGTTTTTTTTTATTTCAAAATATTCAGAAAATTATACTGGATAATTATCTCTTCACTTTTGATGCGGTTCTTTTCTTCACATTCAATGAGAATTAATGAAAAAAATAAAAAAATTTTGAAAAATTTGAATGTTTTTCAATATTGATTTTTTTTCAATATTTGATGAATAGTTAACGCGAAATTGTGAGAAAAATAACACACAAAAATGTTTTTCATCTTAATCATCATAAATTGATGTTTAAGGAGCAATAAACCTATTCCTTTAATTGTTTATAAATCTTTAAATAAAACGATTCAGAAAAGGAAAACGGTTCGACCTACAAACATTGATACTTTTGCAAAGTAGTCGTAGTAGTCGCTGATTTTCCAAAACGTCGGAAAAAGTCTTTTTTGCACATTTTCAAATGTTTATATGTATTTTATGAGTATAAATTTTTTGTCAAATATACCAAAAAGCCGTTAAAGAGGATTGATTGAAGTTTCCAAAATCCACCTTTCGTTCGCTGTACGATCATTGGTTCATGAGAGAAGGTGACGTTTCTCTCAATAACCGCTACCTCAATGATAAAAAACAGAAAATATAACAGAAAATAGTACAGAAAAATAGTACAGAAAATTTAAAAAAAAAATAAAATTGAAGCTTAGGAATCAGGCTAGATGACACAGGCATTGATTAAACCAGAAAAAATTTTCTGAGCCCATTAGCAGTTTTGAAAAATAAAAAAATTTGTAAAATTTTTGCCTTGCATTATTTCTTTTGATTGTGCCGAGAGTAATGCTCAAAAAAATTTTTCATCTCAAGATTTTAAAACTAGAATATTCACGCTTCAAGGTGCCTTTTTTATTTTCTCGATACGATCATTTTTTCCCGAAACTACAACCTTTCAAGCATCACTAAAAAAATTTGGAAATTTTTCTGCTCCCTTAATTTTGTTGCTAGTTGCATTATATAAAACCCTTTGCATATTAAATAACATTTATTGGAAATAACATATTTTCAATAAATCCAAAATCTTTACAATTCAAAACATTGTTAAAAACTTCTGCGAGCACATTGTTCCTGGCTTAGACCGCAGTTTTAGAGCGCCATCCACCCAGGCCTTATCCGTCCTGCGGTGAAAATCCTAAGGCATATTATCGTACGAGCTCTCAGAAGCTTCATAGGTACCCAAAGGAGGACTATACGAGGTCCTAGAATATTCCAATTTATCAGGTAATCACAAGATACCTCAAAGCTAGTGCTAGTGCAAAGCCTAAGAAGATAGTGGTACAGACACTAGAGTACTCATACTCGAAGTGTCTACAAAACAATTAGTGCAACTAAGCTCAGTTGAAAGACTCCAAATCTGCACCAAGAGGGTGTACTAGAGTGGAAAAAGGCAAACACAAATAAGATTTTTGACCATATTTCCAAGAATCTATTTCGCGTCCATAGAGGTTGGCAAGATGAGGAAGGCGTACGAAAATTCTGTATGCCCCTTTGCTGGCGAAAGGAGACGCAATCCCAGCACGGCAGACAATATATGGGGAGCTCGGTAAAAATGTTATCTCCGAAATAATAATAATAAAAATAATGGTGAAAGAGGACATGGCGCCCAGCGTGGGGCACGAACATCCGAAACACCAAGGAAATATGACTGATGCCGGCACTTGATTCCAATTAGGTGCAACGAATCTTATATTTGAAACAACACTACTTGTACAAAACTATATTAAGCATAATTATTATACCAGATAATATGAAACGTACTTTAGACATCTCGCTGCCCATTAAAGTGAAACATGCTATACACACATTCACTTTTTGTCGGCCTTAAATATACCTCGCAGCTAGACAGGAATTAATTACAAAAATGGATGAAATAGTGTGACCGGTAAGCAGGTACAAACCACTCCGTCGTTTTCGAGGCGATATCCTGCGCCTCTCTTAATTTTATTTATTAGAACGGCCTCGGACGTATAATTTAAATTAATATCCACTAGGCGAGTTACACGTATTTCCTCGATCCCGTACGTGTATTAATTGCTCTCCGTCGTCATCAATTAAAGGGAACTTTATTGGCGTTAAGTCGCCGAGTTACTATCGGCCCAGCTGATCGAAAACTACACGCTGGCTGCAGACGAAAGAAAAGCGCACGAAGCTAGCACAAATGTGCATTCGAATTAGAATGCGGGTTTATGCTAAATTCGCGTGATTCTCCTATGCAGTTAATTAGAAATTAATTGCATGTAGATTTTGTATAAGCATATCTCGAATCTGCCGCTGGTGTAACGGTAAAAATCCACCGGAATGGGAATGCCAAGTGAGAGGCTCGTTACTGTTATACTTCCAATCGTGTCTTCGCTATCCGAGATATCCCTGGGTAATGAAGTCTTTACAGCATTAAAAATATGAAGTTAACATAGCTTAAAAGTAGAAAAATTAATAAATACTGAATATTTGAACAAATAGCCACCAATGTTTAAAATGGTAGTGGCTACAAAGCGTATTTATGACGCGTACTGTTTTTAAAACATAAATTTTTTTTAAGGAATTACATAAATAAACAAATGGAAGGTATAGTAGGCATTTTGGTGAGTATTAACAGTTTTCACAAGTGAAATTGGTTATACATTAATAAAAATTGTAAAAATTTACGTAGACCTTATATATTTACGCTGCATAGAATAATTATGCATTTGAGTGTATACCTATATTCCTTTCCAAATCTTTCATGTTTTCAAGTTTAGCAGACTACAAGTTTAGATTCGTTCGTGGCGTAGTAACGCAATATAGTTTTTACTACCTAAATATGGTACCTATAAAAAATAAATACTGATGCAAGTAATGATATAACTTATGTAAATTTTAATTTAACGTTATTGAAGAATATAAGAAGCACCGATATTAACTGTATCAACTTTACGTAACCTTTACAAACAGGCGTCAGGATTGTAGCTTATTATTTAAGATTTATTTTACTTATAGTTTTACTTTCACTATATTTTGTTTTCAGTGTTCTCAAAAGAGGCGGCCATTTTTTTAAATCTTGGCACTGAATGCTAAAGACCAATAAAAAACGCATGTAAAATTAGGTAAGTACAATATTTTGTCACTGAAATTAGTAGGTATTTGGTTATTTATAGAAATTGCATAATACATATTTTTGAGTGTTACTGACTGCGTTAATTTAAATGTACTAAACTTAATGCCCCATATGCTTATTTAGATTTTGCTAATTTTTATTTATCTTCTTAAACAAAAAACATAAAACACACCACAGAAATGAGACAACCCCCAAAACCAAAAGCCAAAGGCTTGTGCGGAAGGGGGCTACACTTGAAAAAACGCGGACAAACACCCATTATCCATCGACATTGCCAGTGCCGACACCGGGGATCGAACCCGGACCAGAGTAGGAAGCCTAGTCGAGAAATGCTTGCCACCGCACTTTCGACCGACTGCGCTACCGTGGCGATTCTTAATAAGCAACAACTATGATAATCTCTTACACATCAACAAATCGCTTTATTCGCAGCAAGGAAGATAGAATAGATAAATAGATATAAATTGATTAAACACGACAAAACAAGTTTTGCCTAATTTTCATTTTCTAATAACAATTCTTAAAATTCTATTTACCTGTCCATTCTTGTCCATTTCGTTATTGGTGAGTTTGACCTTCTCGAAGGAAACCACCTGCTTCCTCAGCTGTTCCCCGGAGTAAGGAGAGTCCGGGTGAGCGTACAATCTGTTGGGGGCGGGAGGATCTGCTTTGCCCGCCACCAGCCACGACGATCGATGGTACGCGTATCTGTAGCGTTTGTTGTCCACCGGTACCACGTCCAGAAGCACCGCGTAACGCTGGTCGGTTCTGATCCCGGTAAAGGAGACTCTCAGGGTGGGAAACATCCTCCTGCCAACAAAAACTGGTGTTAATAAAGAAAGTTCTGAAAAAAGTCAAGTTGTTGTCTGAAAAGTGTCGAGTTCCGCTGCAGTGTGGTTCTAATTATACATATCTCGAAAGTTAATAATTCTCGTAATGACGTTAAACACGTTTTGATTTTCTCTTTCAGCGTAGCTCTGGGACTCGTTACTTGATTGATTGTTCACACAAATTTCCTTATGACAGGCAATCACCACGTGCATAAACATAACATTTTATTGTTACTATTTATTGCTATTACACAGCACTTAAGCAGTGAATACCGTTAGGACATTATACTCTCGAGCCGCGAGTACGATGACACACCTTATAAATGCCTTAAATAATAAACTAAAGGATTTGAAAAATGTTATTTCCAACACCATTTATTCATTGCCGCAAGTATACTTTTACCTATGATTTTTTTCTGCAGAAATATGCAGTTTTTTAAAAATGTATGCAGAAATGTGATGAAAATCTAAACTTAATTCGTACGAAACATATATTTTTTTCTAATATTACCAGCGAATCGTGACCTAATCGTTAAAAAAACAAATATCATTTCAATTTGTGTAAAACAGTGTATATCACTTTTATTATCTACAAATTAAATACAGTCATAAGTGCTCCCTGACAAGTGCTAGTTAGCCTTGACGCTGGAAATAATTATCTCTCGATAATTCCAACTGACAGGTGCTGTCAATCATTCCAGGAGAAGGTATTTGTTTTAGTTCACATACAAGATCTTTTATCGGGGCTTGTTATTAGTAATATATTATTAATTATATATTTTAATAACCAGTTTTGCTCTCTGTCTATATGTATAACAGTGCATTATAGTTTTTCTGTGCACTGTACAAGAAATTGCTTAAAAATTTATCTTAGAAAACTATATTATTTCTGCACTACCTAACTGTTTCATTGAAAATTTTACACCTGTCATTTTAAGCTAATTACATACTGTAATTTCGACAGTTGCCCATGGCAACCTTCAAATTTTTCGGAAATTGTTTTCCTCCTGCCAAGCTAGACAAACAAAATTAATAAGTGGAATTTTTTTTTGACAACTGTCATATGGTTCAAAAATCAGTACCTACTACCTATCCAGAATTTTGCTTTGTAATATTTTTATTTAATTTAAAATAATAAATAGATACAAATAATTATTATTTACCAAATGTTTGTTCCGAGATTTCTTCTATTAACGCTAAATGTTTTTGAAATTCTGGCTGGAACTCTTCTCTTCGCAACGGAGAGTAACGAGGAGCATAAGTATTACCTTTATTTTTCTTTTCCATCAGATGTCCGTGTTTCATAAAATATATGCAATAATTTGATGAAAATTTGTTCTGCTGAGCCCTGGTTCTACGTAAAAAAGATGGGATATCTTCCTCCAAAATCTTTTGAATAGCTGCGAAAAGGTTTTCTTGATGCGGACTGATTCCAGTTTTTTTCAGTAAATATGGTAAATACTTTAAATTTTTATGAGACAAAATAATGTCCCCTATTTTGGTGCAAGAATTACATAGGTATACTATAAGGTTTTAAATTAGTTTTTTGGTTGTTCACTGCCATGATTTAATTGTAAACAATTAGAAGCTAGACAAAATGACTGTCAACGTGACATATAGCGAAGACGATTTTGACATCACAAGCCTAAGCCTACTTGATTGCAGTTATGATTTTTTAAGAATCATTGATATATTGCCATAGACATCGGTTTTCCACAAAAACATACTTTCCTGCTATTTTAGTAATACTAAGTGAATTATACTGATGCAAACATAAATATCTCAATTCAAATAATGAACGCCCTTTTTATTACTAAAGCGAATGTAATGTGCTGTTTTTTATGTTTAATAAGGATCATTAATAAACTGTCATAGACATCGCATTTCTTCAAAAACTTACTTTCCCTCTATTTTAGTAATACGACTAAGTGAATTGTACTGCAAAGATAAATATTTGAATTTAAAAATTAAATGCCTTTTTTATTACTAAAGTGCAAGGAACGTGTTTTTTTATATTTTAATAAGAATCATTGATAAACTGCCGTAGACATCACTTTTCTACAAAAACTTACTTTCCTTCTATTTTAGTAATACTAAGTGAATTGTGTTGCAAAGATAAATATTTAAATTCAAAAATTAAATGCCGTTTTTATTACTAAAGTGAAAGGAATGTGTTTTTTATATTTTAATAAGAATCTTTGATAAACTGCCATAGACATCGGTTTTCCACAAAAACTTACTTTCCTTCTATTTTAGTAATACTAAGTGAATTATACTGCAAAGATAAATANATAATTTTCCTTTAAAGTTTAATTGTAACGTTAGATAGGCCAATATAAAATAATATTTATTAAATAAAAACGAATATAAATTTGTATTAAAAATTTATTCTTTTAATTCGCCTAACAAATATTCTAAAATCATAAATGGTTATATTAAATCTAATTTGTTAATTATAGACAAATCTATTGTAAACTGTTTCTTTTTTTAATTCAAACAAATCAAATGACTTGTATTGAATGTAACTGGTTTAACTCAATGTAACCAGCATAAATGTAAACTAACTGCATTCAAAACAACCGATTGCTTTAATAGAAAGTAATTGTTTTTTTCAGTGTACTAAGTGAATTGTGTTGTAAAGATAAATATTTAAATTTAAAAATTAAATGCCTTTTTTATTACTAAAGTGAAAGGAATGTGTTTTGTTATGTTTTAATAAGAATCTTTGATAAACTGTAATAGACATCGCTTTTCTACAAAAACTTACTTTCCTTCTATTTTAGTAATACTAAGTGAATTGTATTGCAAAGGAACGTGTTTTATGTTTTATTAAGAACCATTTTGTTTTACCTACTAAAGATTGAAACATTTTTTTTTCAAAGTTAAGGTATCCCCGTACTTATGAAAATGAAAGTCTTAGGGCATGACAATTAATTAATGTATTAATGCGATTAAATTATATGACGTTTAAGAAGAAAAAATATGTCATGCGCCACAAAACAATGTCTACCTGTCAAGCCAACTTTATTTTAGCGAAATAAGTTTCAAAATGATACATGTCAGATTTTTTAAATAAATTTTGGTTGCAAAATTTTCTTACCGGAATGTCCGGAAATTTTTCCTCAATAACGCATTTTTCTAGAAAATACGTTCCTTCGGAGAAATTTCCGGAAATAATTCAAGCACTAGAGAGATTATAAGTGAAAATAATTTTTATTAATACAGAAACAATGTGATCTAAGCGCTTTTTTTCAATCAGTACGGTAATAATTTTCTAATCCCGTCTGACGGACGACCCTGCCCGTCAGCGGAGGTGAGGGGTGGTCGAGGGGCCTTCTCGTTGTTTACTTTGCATTAGCATAGCGAAGCAATTTCTCATCTGGGTATTAATTATGAGTGTGTAAATGAAATTGTATAGTTAACATCGCTGTGTTTTAGTTGTTGAATTGGTAATTAGCCGGGGGCCGGAAATAAGCGAGGAGCCCGCCGTTCGTAATGGGAAAGAGACTCGTACGATTAGCAATCTGTACAAGCTGCCATTAAGTAGTTTTTAAAAAAGTCGCCTAATCATCGCCGCCTTATGCATTTTTACCAGCTTATTAAAGCGCGTTACGAGCCACTGACCGTCTGGTTTCCAAACAGACGACTTGCTGTTAAAACGAGGCGACCGCGAAAGATCCGGAAATTGGAGGTGAGGCTTGGTCCTACAAGTCGAAACGATTAAATCGTAAAAGTACTGTTTTACACTCAAATACATATAATAACAGAAAAGTATTTCAATGTTTGACCAAATCCATCTTCTCCGCGAGATACGCAGATCAAGAAGAGAGTTCGCAATAGCAGTGACAAAGACAAGAGACAATAATAGGGCAGATACCGTCTGGTAAATATAGGGAGCTCCCTTTTTTAAACGTACTAACTTTAACAGTTGATAGAGGACTTAATTTTGAACAAAAAATGTTGAAGCGAACATACAGAGTGTCGAATTTAATTACTTTTTATAGTTTTTTTTCCTGATATCTAAAAAACAGCACGTAATAATGAAACCAAATTGGGTACGTTTTATGATGACATAATCAGCCCTATTCTGTAACCTGCATCGAAATGCTCAGATCGAGTCGAAATGTTCGCAATTCGTAAAGTTCAATATCTATCGCGTCGATCGTTTCCTAAAATTGGTATTCTGTAACTCAAATCGTAGAGAAAGACCTCGATTCAATGCCGATTTAGCGTAATGGCATCAATGCATTGCTCTGCGATTATAGACTTTAATAACCAAGTGACATTTAAAGAGGTTAGAAATTTCAAAATATGAAATATGCAAAAGCTAAGATAAATGTGCATTTTACAAGATTGAGCGGAGGTATAAAAAGTGGAATTTATACACAGTTGACTTGCAGATGTGTTTTAATAGCAAAATCCCATGTTCCGTAAATTTAATTGTACCTACCTACTAGATTCTATAGTTAAGTTTAAAAATACATTCATTTTGCTGTAATCTTTCGAGAAGGTCAGTACTGAAAAATATTAATGATGTCAGTTCCGACTCCAATAAAGAAAACAACTTCTACAGAGCAGCTAGATTTCATTACGCTGCACAAAATTTTACTTCACGGTAAAACTAAGCCCTTTGATAGAAAATATTATAAACCATGCACAAATTAGATAATTAAATAAAAAATATACCTATACACGTACGTATAGACGTACTAATATTTTATAATTTTGTGATTTAAAACACGAAAAGGAAAAAAGATTAGTTGTATTGCGAGGTTATGCTTAACTCAAACTGACAGTACTGACACATCTAACACAACAACGCATGCGTGACCCGATCTCGATATCTAAAACTACCACTTCGACAGAGTTGACCGATCGACGTTGATTTCTACCAACAACATCGATAGTAGCGTCGAAACAAGTTATAGAATACCGATGTTGCCCAATTCCGATTTGATGGGTTGATCTCGATTCGATTTT